ATGCGATGGCATCGAATATGTTTGAAAGGCTCCAGCTTGAAACTTTTCTGTCATTCAGACCACCGAACAGGAGCAGGCTAGAAATATGAAATATAACTCAAATTAGCCATTTCATTGGTGTCTATCGAAGATAACGAATGCCAGCAACGGCAGATGGAGATCAGTCAACTTGAGATCAGTGAACATCGAATTGCTGTCCTTTGTTTATAAAAGTAACGGAATATCAGTGAGTTTTATTACTTGACTGATGAACGCTGGAAACTCTGGCCGAAACCTGGTCCCGTCTGTACAGAAAATTGGCGTGAATATTTAAAATTTAAAATATATGTTTTTCATGGTTGTAATTTGGCAATTACTTAGCGAAATGGTGATGGACGTTAATTGAATTTTAGACGATTTGAAATGTCAAGAGCCTTACGTTCATTTTCTACTGCACATTACTGGATAATAAGAATCAGGCCGTAAACGCCTCAAGGGTCATCTGACACACCCAAGCACTTTAGAAGTCGGTCTCGGCCGAGTCATTAGGCTTAATGAGCGAGAAGGGCTGCGCTATTGTCAAATGCAGTCCGTCGTTTCGTTCTTTAAATGCTGCGACTTAGCTGTTGAGTAAGTACACTTCCCTGCCGTATATCCGATAGCGAGGCTTTCTGTTGATGAAGGCAAATACCGTAACTCAATTTTGGATTTTCTCGCCGGCTGCCCGCGCATTTAGATTTGGCCGCATTAGCTTTCAATGCGGCTACGATCGACGGCAATTATTCGATAGGATACGAATGTCGGCTATTAGCGATGGAGTTGGAGTTGACCGCCGATGTCGATGACCAATTGGTCTCTAGAGAGACCGCCGTTCGATCGACCGACCAAACGAGCAAACGATCGTTTTGTGTGTTCGAGAGACGAACGGTAAACAAGAGGTGTCTAAACAGGTTTGCCATTTTCCTCACTGTGCTGCTGTCGTTCTTCAGGCGCTTGTTTCGGTATTGAAACTGTTCGAGCTGGTTTCGATTTTTGCATTGAACAACAAGCTCAGATACTCGTCGCTGAGTTCATGAGAATGACATAAAGCTCCGCGGGGTGATGGCGATGGGGAAAGAAGCTGAAGAAGGAAATTTAAAGGGAGAAGGAAGAAAACGATTTGCTGAGAGAAGAAGTAAGAAACGACCAGAGGAGACGATGAATAGGGGAACGAGGAGGTAGAAAATAAGTCGTATAAATTGGAAACGAAGGTGAAAAATGGGTGGTAAATGGAAAACGACGATTAATAAGGGAAAAATGCGAGGGTGACTAAAAGCAAAAGAAAAGTTAACGAAATATGACTACTAGCGTAATAGATAGAATACGACAAGAACGAATTGACTGTTTGTTCTACAAATATCTGTAATCCGACGAAGTACAATAGGTTGAGGGAGAACAAGGTAAACAAGAGAAATTTAGGTGAAGATGAGGAAGAAGAAGAGGGAAAAGGAAGAAAAGGACGAAGTAGACGATGAAGAAAAATTTTGCATTAAGTTTCAAACTCGCAGAAATTCATGAATAGAAAAGAGAGGTGGGGGTGATTAAGAAAGTGAGGTTGTCCGTTCTTGAGAATTGATTGATCATAGATTCAACCGTTTTGCGTTATTTCTTTGGAAGCTGGAGTGGATTAAATGTAAATTAATTAGAGGAAAGGCTGATAGGAGCATAACATGCTCCTCCAAAGCTATGTTTTTTGCCGTTTGCGCTGCGGTTGCTACTAATTACACAGGAACCAGAATTATCTTAATGTTTGTGTAATTCATTTCTTTACGATTAGACAAATTATGAAAAAAGAAAAGCAAAAGAAAGGAGAATTGAGGAAGATGGAGCTACTCCTTCATAGGCCAACACCGCGAACCAAGGATCACTTGGACAATGCGGTCCTCCGTTTGAGTTTTCATTTAAAAGTCATTGCATTAGCAGACCTTTACCGTGATTTTCTTAATCTTCTTTTAGTCATTGGTGAAAACTCCAAAATGAATTTCACGGGTACTCTTAAGTTTACCGTTGTAGCAAACGGAACGTACGTTTCATGTTATGATTGTGAGCAAACAATTCCATAGTCAAGATAAAACTTACATGTGCAGGAAGAGAACAAATTGAATCACATTGAATCTGGATCGTAGGTACTATTCGAATCGCTAAAATCTGGCAGTACATTTGAATGAACAATTATATATGAAATTTTCGCCGTGCCTGTTTAACGGTCCATAGGCTACCAGAAGCAAAGTGTTCGGTGCGACTACGCTGTACGAATCCGTAACAAGAGATTTTTATTTTTGCATACGGTATTGAAAACAGGCGATCTGCTCGTAATTCCATAGTACCGGACGTTAATGTTTGTTATTGTGTATATGTTCACCGGGTTTTTTTCGATCTACTACTGTATGAACGTTTTTACAAGAGGTTGCCACAAACTCCTGTCTTAACTGCAATTCTTATCCACCTTGATCCTACAAGCTTATTCATTTCATTCTGAAGACCTTTCCAGGGTCTGTTTACTCTCTCTTGAAAACCAGTTTGATGTCTTTCTTTTTCAGAGATGGTCATTTATTCTCTTAACGTGATCTGCTCATTGAAACTTCAACTTCTTCGCTCTTCACTGACATCGCTGACGGCTTCTGCTTTTGGCAATTGGTATTTTTTTCGTGTTTGTTCATGTTATCCGCCAACATACAGCTAGTCTGTATATATCTTGCTTATACTTTGTATGAAGGGCAGGTTTACGGTTAAAGGGGACCCAGAGTCGCTGTACGTTAGAGCGCAGATGTTGTATTCTTTTTTAAAGATCAAACGAGGTCTACTTTACGTGTTTGTGTTTATTGTTGGCGAGACCGCTAATCGTTGATAAGACGCTGACGACGAATCTAAAGATCTTAAATCATACAGTGATTTATGACTTACGTTTCCGAATGCTGCGTCGGTAATCGCAGCAGTGGTGGCGGCGGGTTCATTGCTGAGTTCGTCGTTGAACCGAGTTTCATAGGAACAAAAAAGTTATTCTCCCGACGCCACGCCGAAGAGCCATCGGAACAAGCAATGCACGTCGCTAATTAATCATTGCAATTCGTCTCCACTTCATCACTACCTCAGCGTTAAGCGTAGATTTCGCGCTGAGGTAAGCACCAACAGCGAGATGGTAACGAGTTTTCTCTCTCGATCTGATGACAGCTTCTGTCATTGAAACCAAAACAGGATATTATGTTGTTTTTGTTTTCAGCCGCATGCATTGGCAACAGGGGTTATGACTTTTTTGCCTATGTGAAGTGTATCAGATGATATTCGACGTGTATAAAAACGATGCAGCATTGCGTTCACGCACCACCATATGTAATATTTTGTAACCGACCAAAGAGAGGGGGGGGTTGCTAACAAACAGGACATGCAACCTGATCACAACGGTTTACTAGCAAGCACAGCACACGTGCAAAAGGCAACTGCTGACCACACGACACTTCATAATACTCCATACGTGTGGCTTTGTCTTGCCGAGTGATCTCTCTCGTTTATTCGCTTCACGTTTCCTGCTACCTGTGGGGACGATGACTTGTCCTACCCTTTCATATGACCCAAGTCTAAAATGGTGCGCGAGGGGGGGCGGCGCAGTTGCCTCCGTCTTTTTACAGCCGGTCGTCGCTAACGGCCAAGTGAATCGGGATTTACTTAAAGCACCATGTGGGCGCCGCTAGAAACAACGTGTAAATCCGGGGAAGCAACAGCAAATTGTCATTCCTACCGTATTTATCGAAATCCTGCATTTTGCTAGTAAACTTTTGCCACTGATTTAGGAGATACGCATACAGCTGTCTTTGTCAGATATGGACAAAGTGAACGTGGCCAGAAGTTTCTTGTCGACCCTCAACGTCACTACACCGGCACTGTCCGGTACAAAACAAAGACATTTCCTACGTGTTCGGTACCCCTTTTTCTTTACCCGATATGTCGTGGTTTGAAA